ATGTAATATGCATAATGCATTGTATACACATACATAATATGTAGTACAATATAATGGTTGAGATACTTGATTAAGAAACACCATACTTTTTCATAGTAGTTGCCTTTTGTAGCATTTAAATGTAATATATTTTAACCACAAATTATTCCATATCACATTTCTGTGAATTAATGTTGGCATATTGTGATAATCAGGAATATTTGAATTATAGTATGAACTAAGAATTCCAGAATTAACGTGATCGGATCAAGAAGTACTAGATAGCCACAAACGAATGTACTGTATTTAGAAATCGAAATCGAAATCAAGCATTCAACAAGTACAAAGGAATCAATAGTTCATTCATACACTACACATATATATTGCAAACATTGTAAAAATACCATCAAATAAAGTTGTGAAGCTCGCCTGGGTCATTTCCTGCATCTGTTTGCTGCTGTGGACTTCGGAAATCAGTTGGTTTAGTATAAACCCTGAAAAATTTCAAACAAAGTATTAAGTATTCACTGACACTAAACATCCACAAATTTCTGTACGTTCTCTTTAAGTAATCCTTTAATATAAACTTCAAACTGTTGTATTCAGCAAAGCTATTTCATATAAGGCATTGGTTCGAGATCCGCGTTTGTAGTCGAAGTCATCTTACGGAAGTAAATCTCACATTTCACATATTGAAATTTTCGAGAGTACCGTTGTTTTTCATTTTTAGTGCGAGTAAACGTATTTGTTGTGTTGTAAAACTGTCAAGGTAGATGTCCGATACCTTTGTGTGAGTTTAAGTATAAAATGTTACGATTTCAAAGAGTAACATTCATAGTAAATATTCAGTAATTTAAGAGACCAGAGCTAAGACTTTCTATTGCTTTTGAGTTCAGTATAAAGTGATGTTTCATCAGAAACTATAAAATGAAATAAAAACGTTTGAGTGGCAGAGTAAACTGAGAAAAAACAGAAATTTAGCTAAGCACATTTAAATTTGGACGCACATTAACAGATTTTGAATGGAAATAATTAGAGTAGTGAAATAGTAACCTGGAGGTTAAGACGTTTTTCTTCCAGTTATGTAGTCTAAGGTTCATTTGCTTCATTTTGTACTGAGAACTCTATATTGTGCTGAACAAAGAGTTTTGAATAAATTCGGTATAATTATCCATAAAACCGATGTCAGATAATCGTTATTACGATATTTAATAAAAATGTTCAGTGGCAGAATCCAAGAAAAACGTTACGAAGGAGGGACTTGATGTAGCGAGTATGCGAATCAAGCCAGCTTATTAACCGCAGCAAACGATTAAGTTCGTCTGAAATACGATATTCTGTAACTCTTCTTTTTTCGAATCTCGATGTTACGCTGTTGATATTAAGTGGATCAATGTATTATTAGTAAACTAACATGTTTCGAACAATTTATCTACAGAGTCAAATTTATACGGCAGAAACTACAACACATTGGCACGACAAGAATAACTCTATGAATATCATTATATGTAAAAATTATATTTGAGTTAATCTCAACTTTTGAAATGTAAAGTAATTCTAACCTTTCTTCCAGCAAACTTGAATATCGATTAGAATGCACTCAAGAACTAAGAAGAGAAACATATTTAGTGTCCAGTGAATAGAATTAACCTACCCTGTTAATAGAACATGAAACTCATCTTTAGTTATACGAAAGATCCCTACTCTTTACCACATGTGAATATGGTACCGCTGAGCTGTTAAATTTGTGAATTAGGACTTCTTGCAGAAGCGGTGATGCAGAGACTGAAAGTCTTGATCTCATCAGAGACAAAGCCGAAAATTTGGATGGACGACAAATTAGTTATCATAAAAAAAGATGAGCTGGAAAATACCAACAATGTGATCAACGTTTTTGATGACATAAAATTCACAGTGGAAAAAGGATTCGAACAACAAACTATCACTATTCACTGGAACCGACAAGTGTATCGGAAGCGGGCCAACAGAGGCCGAACTCTCAATCAAAGTAGCAACAACCGAAGAACTCGCGAAATCAACTGCGTACAATCTTTATTCAAGGTGAAAATAACACACTGCAGCACACTTACAACGCGGAAAAGTGAAGAAAAATATCTAAAGACTATCTTTCGAAAGAACGGCTACTCAATCAAATTTATCAAAAAATATCAACGTAACTCATCAACAAAGGCAAGTACAGAAATCAGCAAACGGATTATCGTACCTTTTGTAGAAGACAAATCAGAAATTGCGACGAGATTACTAAAGTCGTTTGGATTACGTTTAACCCACAAACCAGCGAAATCATTCCAGTTAATCCAATGCAAACTGAAGGACAAAATGCCAAAAGAAGAAAAACCTGACATCATTTACTGTAATGTGTTATCGATAAACGAACCCAGCATTAAACACCCAACACCATATTAACCCTCTTTGATCTTGTATGACTATTCCTTGTTTATTCAACAATCATAATTGTTGTGTCTTTCATAAATGATACACGGTTTGTTGACTCATGTTTCGTATTCACTAGTTACCGTTCAGTATGTTATTTCTTTTTCTTTTCCCCCTATTTAACAGAATGTATTATTGCTTTTTGCATACCAACAGAGTTAATTTACGTTTTAGAAACAGATAAAGTTTATCAAGCCAAAAACCTTACTTGTTGTGACATTTTCTAAGCTAAAACTCTGTGCTCGATAGTCTAGAGAGTACTTTAGAATAGCATCTGCAGTTAGTTACTTCCTACACCTGCAAAACAAACTGTTAAAACTGAGGAAATCACTGAATCGAACAAAGTAGACACCTCCTTCATCGTCTCTTGCACAAACATCAATTAGCGATCAAACACCATGGCATATCTTAGTTAATATCAATGCGTGTGAAAAAATGTGGACACACATTGAACTGAAAAAGGTTGACAATTTGAATGGAGAGGATACTAAAATCACTAGAGAATCTCTAGAAGCTTGAAACTCAGGTCAATCAGCAATCAATAAATATATTGAAATTGATCCAATCTATCAACCAACCGAAAAATGTATGTACAAATATAGTATCAAGAATCGTATCAAAGAAAGATGCGATCAAAATAAGGGTGTGGACAACGATAGATTAAAGGTCAGTAATAAAAGCCGTCTAAATCATCCACTTGAACAATAAATCTTCTCCACCATCTCAAAATTAGTTACATGAACAAAGATGTCATTGAAATCTTAAAATAGACGTTAAATAATGGAAACGTTTAGGATCTGCAAACACCTTACTTCTAGGCATTCTGTTTTATAAATCACATACACCAAAATTAGGTGGCTCTATACAGGCACAAACATTTCAAAAATATGCAATCAAGATAATTCATTTCAATTCCAAATAAATCTAAGAATATAAAATTGGAAACTATTTTACTGAACTACCAATTACTTCATACAAAAAATGGGTAAATATATATAATGTACTTATTGCTCTAGTTGATAAAAATATTGACTAAGTTGTAACAATTATGATTTTGTAAACAGAAATTATTTAATGATTGAACAATTGAATTAATGAGTCAATTAAAGCAAGACCTCCATGGAGAACCTGGAAGCACTACATAGGTCAAGCGTTCGCGCACGAGAACGATAGGTCCTGGATTGGAATCCCGCCAGTGTGATCATGAATGAGCGCTTTTGAAGAGTCCGATACTTAGAAAGAACAGCTGCCTAGTGCTTCCAGGTTTTCCATACTAGTCTAGCTTAAATTGACTCATGAATTCAACTATTAAATTACTAAAATCTCCCCCTTCTGTTGTTTATTAGTTTGATACATTCTACTTTAATAATCAGTATGATTATTCCAACGACAATTGTCAAATGATTCTATTGTGAGTAATTTTCTTTGAAAAAGTAGGCTTAAAAGACTTTTTTGATTAAAAAGTAAAACACAACACTTTGGATCAATAAAGGAAGGTAGTTTATTTGTTTAATCAAATCATAAGGGAATTTCAATCACTATATATATATATATATATATATATATATATATATATATATATATATATATATATATATATATATATATATATATATATATATATATATATATATATTTATATATGTATATAATTCTTTGACGATTCGTTTAATGTAATGTTCAGTATGAATGTATCTTTGCTAATGTTTGTATTTCGTTGTATTATTTAATAAATTAAATGAAAGATTTTATTTAGAAAACAAGTACATGTTTCAACTTTCGGAAAATTAAAAAAAAGACAAAAGCTTAGTTAAAGCGTATCATGCCATGAAGCTAAAAAATATCATAAAGTAACTTGATTAAATTCAATAAGCGATTCTGAAAGGATAAAGTTAATGGGTAATAGAAATCAATAGCAATCAATAATAACTTTAGTAGCTATGATTGTCATAATAATTGAAACGATGGAAACAATAAAAATAGTTTTAAGTAAATAAAACAAATATTATATAACTAATACAATAAACTCATGCAATTTTGAAGATAAATAATATTTTATATCAATGAATTACAACAAAATAAATTGAAGAATTATAATCTTCAACTTAAATGAAAATAAAACTGTAATGCTACGAAATAACATTTAAGTAAGAGGAGAAAAAGGAACGTAATGAGAATCAATTTTTGAGAAGACAAAAAAGTATAATAATAATAATAATTCTATATAAATTAATTATTAACTTTTCTTTTTCATCTCATTAGTGTTTGTAGACGAAAACCATGACGAAAACAACCAAACAAAACAAAAGAGTCATCTTACGTATTTGTTGTTAAAATCAAAGCAAAAAGAAACAAACAAATATGTTACCTTAGTTAATGATATAAATAGCGTTAAAACGAGGGTAAAATAAATGACTAGATATAATCTTGGGAAATAAATTACTACATTGAGGAACAATTCCTGTTCAATTGAACTTTTTTTTAAAATTTTATAGTACTTTCCGATGTTATATTTATTAATAGAAATGTAAAAATGCTTTTTTATTTCATATTTGACAATATATAAGTAGTTATCTAGTGTTATTGTTGTTAATTCCAAACAGATATTGATATTTAAAACTCTGACACACCTGATGGTTCATTGTTAATATCTGGGCGTCGTCCACTAGGAATTTTCTTCGTTGTAGTTATAAATGTACCACTACGTACTGTTCTTTGTGTATCTAACCAATTCTGAGCTGGTATAGCTTTCCATACTTGTTTCGTTTCAATTGTTGTATTAGTTGATGGATTATTTGTTGAATAGATTGTTACTGGTCGAACAGATTGCTCTCGTCTATAACGTAAAGGCTAAAAACAAAATGGTCAGATATAAAAACCACAAAATAATACAACTATGGGATTTACAACCAATCAATCAAATATTTTTTCAAGAGCATTTTAATTATCGTTTCGGAGCTTTTAACATACGGGAAATGTTCATCTTTCTCATGCTCACAAGGTATCATGATTAAGTATATCGTATAAACACCTATTTCGAATAGTTGTACAGTAAAAATGCACCATACTCCAATTAAGAAATTATCATCGAAACGCTTTAAATCTTGTTATTCTCAATGTAAATAAATAGTATGAAATATATATACGTCTGGAGACTTGGTAAAATTTTGAAGGATCTATGTAAATATTAAGGGAATGAGATAATTAGTCTGAGATATAATAAGTTTTTAACAATGATGGTTAAGCGGAGGGTAATCAACGTTTCATTTTATTATGACAGGTTGTGTTCATTCTTATAAGAACATCTGATTCAGCAAAGGATGAGAAAGTTATTCCTTAATTTACTATTCATTTCAGATTACTTAAAATATTCGAGATGATCACTACCGATTAATTGTGGAGGTAATGAACAATAATCATTTTTGATGTCTTTGAGTCTTAATTTCACTGAAGCGCACTCAGTAATAGAAACACTTATCATTCTCTATGTTTTCTTAATCTATATTTTTTGGCACATGCAAGTAAGTTGTTATATGCAATCGTACGTAACTAGAAAAGAGTACTTATAATGTTTTGACTGTTTTAAAGAATAGTTTCTTTTTATACAAAGTAGTTTTTTGTCGAATGTTTGTTTAGTGGATTCATTTGATGATTTTGTTGAATTTGAAGGTAAGTTTCAAAGCAGGGTTCTTTCATGACTGCCTTAAGCCTGGTTTGTTCAGTCATGTCTTCCCGTGTACACAAGTGTACTGTGTAAATATCATCTTTTCAATTACTAAGGGTTCTTGTTCTAGACTCTCATTTGAATAAAGTTTACGAGTACAGGTAAGAAGATATTAGGAAACCCCTTTTGAACGTAAACTTTTGTCCCTGTAGGTTACTAAAAGTAGAATCTCAAATACTGTCTAACAGTAGTTCGTATACAATATATATTTATTCACGTTGTAACATTTCATCCTAGGTCTCTTTTTATGACCAAATGAACACACACAATCTTTCTCACTCATATAAGTTTCCTCAAATACTTGAAAAATGTTCGCCAAATAAACCCGCCACACTTAAGTTATATGGTCTACGAGTAGTTCATAAATAAATAAGCAAACAATCAATCAAGAATGTAATCGGTGCAACATACTACTTGTAAGTGCCAACATAAGTAGCATACGCCATACTAGTTCTCGATTTAAATAAAAGTCATTCTTGCCGTCGTTCTCATTGCCGTGCCGCTCTCTTCCTTGTCTCAGTTTGTGTCGCGCTCCCCGTCAAAATGCCGAGTCCGTCAGCGCACTGACCGCCACAGCAATGCCAAAATGCCGTATCATCTAAATCCAATGTTCACACAGAACTCTGGGCCTGGTTTTTCCTCCCGTCAACAGCCAACGCCGACCCGCCAAAACACTCCAATAGACGTCCTCTCCACGCACCGGACCGCGCCAACTAGCGTTTTTTTATCTGGGCCTTAAATCGGTGTCCTCAGAATTCTACATTCTCCGCCTGCTCTTTGGCAGCGACGATAATCGTAGTGAATGAAGGCTTGGTGGGGGATAACCAGTTTATTGCGTAATCCAAAATTACAGAGTGCTTTCGTAAAATATGAAGGTCACGCACCAAATACCTAAATTGCACATCTTCCATCAATTTCTTTTACATGCTTCATGATACTTTCTATTCTGTTGTTATTACAATCACTTTCAGTTTCCATTTCTATCCTCTTTATTTGGGTCTTCCCAATCTTCTGCTCACAGGCATTCCACTTCGGATTGGAGCTACCTACTACTTATATCTGTTAACATAAGTAACATGCACTACAAACTTACTATTGATAATTTCATAAAATCAATAATCAAATATATCCATGAATGTTTCTGGTTCCAGATCAACTCAAATATCAATGTACGCAGATACAGACATAGAAGCCTAAAGACAAAATTTTTTCACACTGTTGCATGGGGTGGAATACTTTAGCTTATGTACTACATGGAATCTATAGAAGAAAGATAAGTGTAAAGTAATGTCCAATCGTACACATGTATGTGAGGATTGATTGATTTTATGGGCCCTCCTGACTTGAGGTGTCAAGAAATGTACTCGAAAGTTCAACTTCGTTATAAATGTAACGGTGAAGTGCATCCAGTCAGCCAGAAGCGTTAAAGTAAATGACAATGCGAATCTTTACAATGTGCTAGAATACTGTTACGTTATTCTTTGCTGTATTGGTGCTTTTATCTCAAATCATTTTAGTTGTATTATTAGTGTTATTTGGTTAAAAGAATTCCGCCAGGTCTCATTGAACAAAAATCAAGGTGTATTAATAGGGACGTCTAAAATTTTATCTTCTTATGTAGCGATTATCTGAGTTTAACAATGTAGTAAAGTTAAGCGTCCATAATGTAGCTTGGCGTGCAGCTGTGCTATTATTATAACTCAGGAGGCTTAGCAACGAGACTACAAACACAGTTTTTCAGACATTTTTTCATCGGAAACAAGATGGGAGTTGTACTGATACACACACTAACCTAGATGCATTCGTTTATAGTACAAAATTTGTCATTAGCATACGACGCATAATTACATATCCATCTCATATAGCCAGCCGATCGGTTTCGATTCTCTGGCTGCATGAGTTTTGTACTGCAGATAAGCGTAATATTGCGAGATGAGGTGTGATTTAATCCCGAAATTTATTTGTTTTGATTTATCACACTTGATATGACGAACAATATTGTGATATTATGTTACTTGACCTCAAACTATTAAAGAACTAGAACTAGACGGGGCATTTAGTGTGTTAATATATGTATGGTCTCAATACGTTAGATACTGTGAATGCCATGGCTGTCGAGGTGAAGACTATTCTGAAGGTTGTAGTTAACACTGTCACTGTTAAACAAAACTAAAACACAGATCGCACATAGTCGTGTGATAAGATCAACTAGCATGTTATTTCAAATTTCCTGTTGAGCATACTTGTATTGTTCCATGAATCCAGTATTTTTTTGTTTGAAACCCTAGTGAAGAAATTCTGAAGAAATAACCTTCTGTCATCACTAATATTCTAAATATATCGTTGTTTCATATCTCTTTGTCATTGTTATTTCTTCACTTGTAAGTTGTATACTTCATAAATTGATTTTTGTTTGTATACTCATTGAACAGTTACCGATTACCATTGTAGTTTCTGGAACATATTTACAATCTTACAAATCAATCAGTTTTATTCTCTCTAATATGACTTAAATTGTTCAACTATAGATTGAAGGGAAACATAATATTTAAAGCGAATATAGTTAACGACTTAGTTAGTAGAACACTGTTATTTAAAAATTTATGAAACAAACAAAAAATATAATTAGAAATTCACCTGAATATCAACATGATTTGATTTATCCATATAGGCTGGATATGCTGGATAAATAGGTGAACTAGGATTCCAGTTGGGAGAACTTTCTACTTTTCTCTGTGGACTGTATACCGTAGATGCATTATCGCTAAAAGTAGAAATACATACACAAACAAAATGTTGACTAAGTAATACTAATTTAATTATACATTTCTTCCATATAAGACATAAGAATGGTAAGTAGTGTATCTAGTTCAAAAAGTCTTGAATAATCGTTTTCAGAAGCCTAAGGAATTCAGTCTGTGTTGAAATCGCTTTTCGTCAGGGACTGATATGAACCAGAAATCCCTCAAAAACAAAGAGTACTAACCAGCTGTTTTATCTTAGTTTGGAAACCCATAGGGCTGGTGACTCATCATTCCCTCAGGGACCATACCTAGGTCTTTTAGGTCCCGTGTTAAGCACTACTTCTAAGTTAGAGTTAAATGACTTATATTTCCTACTTGAAATTAAATCTGTCATTTGAAGTAAGAATTAAATAAAATCACTGAACTTCATAGTCTAGTACACAAATCTGTGATGTTCATTAGGCTGTATTATATATTTATTAATAAATAATTCAAACGGCTGTCACACGAACAGAATTGACATTATTAGATGTTTCATTCTTTACGAACTGAATATATTTTCACATTTATCTACTTCCAAAAGTTAAATGAATACTCTCACTAACATATTCCATTCAAATTTATTATTATATTGTAACATGAACACTTTGATTTAATGCTAGCAAGGTTTCGACAAATGGATTGATAAAATCAAATCGATTTTTTATTCACTGTATATTATTTGCTAACATTTTAGTGAGATGCCACAAAAAGATCCAGATCACACGAAGTTTAACCGATGACTTAGGTCGATAATGCCAAAGTTTTTCAGGAAAATAATGTTGAGTTTCAATAAATAAATTTTTCAACACGCTATTGAAAGATTTCAATGCTAAGGAAAGAAAACATACCGAAACACTTGTTTATTTCTTGTAGATTTGTCAACAATACGAAAAACAATAAGAGTTCTTCAGTGTACATCAGTATGCAGTGAACATATTTGAAATTTCAACATCTAAGGACGAATTTATAGTTATATTAATACATTAGTGAATTCTTGATAACTAAAATTCTCCATGTCTTTAGGTCTTTGAATGACAATTAAGTTTCATCTATTGAGCTTCCACGGTGGAAACTCAGATAAGTAACTATCCTATACTGATAACTAATGAGTAGTTGAAAGGAATCAGTAGATTAATATAGATTATATCATCAAATTATTTGTTTTACTAACCCAAATACAAACCTTATAAGTCGAATTTGTTAGTTAATAAGGCCTTGGTTGTACTGTGGTGTGAGCTACTTATATTGATATGAGTAGTATATGACGCGAGTTAAAACATAATGTCTGGCAGCAGAAGATGAGGCAAAGATCGATAAACGAAGAGCAAAAACACAAATGGAATTTGTAAGAAAACGCATGAACAATGAAATGGGAGACAATGGATTGGTGTTTGCAACAGAAACAGTCTAGTTTGATTTGATGCATAAATATTTTGCAAACTGTCGATTTACTATATGGTAATCAGATTTTATTGAGATAGTCTATAATTGTTGTGACAAATGAATTCGGTTGTCCCCACCCGTGTTCTTGTTCACTACAGTACTACTAAGTTTTGTTTCTGTTGGTCAGTAAATAAACATGATTAATTTGTAGAGTGAATTATTTTCTTTGGCATTTGATGCTGTTAACATAGCCAATGAAAGCCATGGAGTACTGAACAGCTGTTACATCCTAGGTGAACAGCTAGTAGATACTATTTAATCATGAAATCCACTTATTTTTGGTATTAAATTTACCATCTATTGACAGTAAGAAGATTTATGGAATACTGTCTGGAAAATGTATCGATTAATTGTTCTGTTTCTATGAATTTGAATATAGTTAATATGCACTTTGATATATTTATCCCATATTTATAATACATTTTTATGTTGATCCCTTATGTGTTTGATTATGTGATAATTTTGTTGATAATAAAGAGTGAATTTTCTACAGAAGCATCATTCAATTCGCTGAACACACACAAATAGGATGAAACATATAAACAGGGATTCTTGTCGACCGACAATAATCACGAAAATATGACACAGTGTCCATCACGGTGCTCAGTCACATAGAATACAGTTGGTAAAGTTTGATCATCACTTAGGACTAGACAAACATGACATTACCTAAGGTGAATGACTGTCTAGAGGTTAGGCATTCGCGCAAGAAATCAAAGGTTATGGGATAGGCCCCCAATGGTGTGTTCGTGGATGCACACTGCTAAATTTTAGACTAGAACAACTGTCTAATCATGATTAATGAATACTCTAATCCATGAAAATTTACATCCTCACAAAATCTTATTACTAAAACATGACACTGAATAAAACTGTGTAATCATTAAGATCCGATTGACTACACGTAGACAAATTGAGATTAACTCATGTTTAAAGTGAGAGTACTACTAAATGTTTTACATTAACATAAAAAAATCATTTGTAAGCCATAAAAAATGAAGAGCATCGTTTTCAATCTTCACGGAGTCAGATCGAATGGTAACAATATAATAAATGAGAATTACATAAATTGTTTTAGCACCTATCTTTACTCTCAGAAATTGATTTTCTAATTTAATTAGTGAAAATTCAATTAGTTATATAGGTTGATGACTACTACTAATATCGGGGTATTTTAAGAAGTGACATAAAACCTACCGAGAAATCTTTTGCAAGTCAGAAAATTTCCAATTTTTCAATTTTATTCTTCTTTTTACGAACCATGATGGATGTTTAGTAGGAGAGTAAATAGACAATACCATTTAGAAGCGTAAGTAGTGAGTTCTGGATGATGAAATGAAACTATGCCATAAATAGGGAATACCACGAGTTGGTCGAAATCAAATGTATAGACTCTTGCATTCCAGCTTAGTGATCTAAAGCTTTTTATTCTTGTCATAAAATCTGAAAGTTTTTTCATGCTAACTACTCAAAAGTTTCAATTTCCACTATCAGGCTCGTCTAGTCATTAGTACTGACTCTATTGACTAAGTAGCAATTTGAACTCTAGCACAAGTGACTCGACATCACAGGTACTGTGTCTTTATTACCTAGGTGGAGGTACTTGATAAGGAACAACGGACGTTTTTCACGCTATTTGGTATTAGCCAGTACCACATAGCTTTAGTCTTGAATAGACAGATTTTCTATGGTAGATTCTAACCCGGATCGAACAGTTTGTCTGTCTGAGATGGCACATGACTGACCTCCTGTCTGACTAACATTGTATATATATTGGTCACACTGATTGAATATTGGCTGATCACTGGGTATCAAGGACTAAACGTGTACAACATTTTACACTATTCAGTGATCATTCTAAATATCTACTGAGGTAGTTCAGAATGTCAACAGAAATAATGCTATATAAAAAGTGGTCATTAAAAAATGTTAACAAACCTGTTGTATACATTTACACGCAGAGGTTGTACAACTCTGCTGGAACCACGTGATATTGAATTGTACGAATTGTATGATGGATAGACTGATGAAGGTGTAATTGGTCTAACAGGTGATGAACTTGAATTATATTGTTTGGCTGGGTAGATACGTGTTGAGCTTCCATTGTACACTCGTCCAGATGTTATGTTCCCAGTTGGATGTGAATCTTGAACATGTATAGTTGCAGAGTATTGAGGATAGTTTTGTTTATAATTGGATTTTGGTTGCACAGTATTGAAATAGTTTGTAGTAGCAGGTGGGTTCTGTAAGCAGTAAGTTTCAATAAAGATTGGTTTAGGTAATGATGTTTTTCCTTATCAAAATTTTGCACAAATTAAAACAAATACTGATTCAATAAAATTTATAATTAAGATCAAGCAATTGAGCAAAGTTTGATATATATACACATATATGTATATATGATATAGGCTATTTAAACCCATTAATTTCGAATAATTTTACTAAAGTTCTAGATTAATAATAAACCGCGGTTTGTGATCAACTATGTAGCGAATCTAAATGCTGATACGAATACTATATAGAATTAACTTTCCAAATCATGTTGTATTCGATTAAGCAACTTATATTTTATGTCTCTTAATCACTGTTCATCTAGATCTGCCAATTAAATTTTCGATGGTACTGTGGTGTGTGCTACTTATATAGTGTTGTATATAACTTTAGTCTGGAAGCAGAATCTCAAGAAGATCGAGGAGGAAAGGATGAGAACAGAAAGCGATTGGTATGGAAATACAGGAACAATAAAGTCGGAGATGATTGACTGAAATTTGAAAAAGAACAGTCAAGTTTGAGACGATTGAGTGACATTTTGCAAATTAAGTATTCATTGTATGGTTCTCATATTTTTCTAAGGTGTTCTGTAATTTTTTGTTCAAAATGCATTTGGTTGTCAGCACTTGTGTTCTCGTTCACTACAGTACCACTTAACCAAATAATTACACATTCCCATTATACTGGCACTAGTGTTCGGTGGCTGGGAGTCATCACAAAAAACCCTAGATTTATAAGTGCTATTCTGCTCTATTTTCTGGATTTTATTAATGTCATCCTTCAGAAAGAATTTCAAGTAATACGAAGTCCAAATCTGAGGATGTTTATTTGCCACTCTCAGTCATTGAATATTCTGTTTTCTTATGAAAGTAGTTAAGTCTATCTTTATTCAATTTAGATCAAATGATTACTCATTTCCAACGCTAATAGTTGTGATCATTAAAAACATTTAGATAGGACATTTTTGAAACCAAATATAAAACATGACTGATAAAACACTGAAATAAGTGAGGTGGTCAACTAATAATCTCATATAGGGTTTGGTGTCTACCTCAGAGAAAAAAACTCCACTAAAATACTGTATTATACTTTTGCAATAATGCACTACTTATTATAATCAACCCAGTAGAGTCCCAAGACTAAAATCGAATACGACACTGTTCATGAACTGGTAACTGAATTACAAACAAACTAAGTCAATCTTTTTTTCTATTCACTACACCTAATGAAGACGGTACATACAAACTGATCAGTACAATGTACCAGAAAACATATAAACAGTATATGTATTATGTAAAATCAATGATATATGTAAATTACTGTGTTTTTAAACTCAACAAAGTAAACGGTCACAAAAGTTGATATAAATCAGTCCAATTTATGGGTATACGGGTAGGAACATTTAACTTTGGTTACAGACATAAATTTTCTTATCTGCCTAAACAAAAGGTGCAAAGATAATCAAATTTTATCCTAAATGTCCATGAATTTAGGTCATATATCAACACGTTAACTCTAACAATATATGCATAAGATAAGAAGTATAAATATAGCTTTATTTGAAAAGTAGCTACACAGATAGAAAACTATGCAAAGAAAACAATGGACATTAATAACAAGGTTAGATAAGTAGTCTGATAGCAGAGTATATGGATATTTTTCTTACATCTGAGAGAAAAAAAGCACACTATACATTCCATTCTATACTTTAATATACGTACAACTAAGCATGTTGTATCATAAAAATTTGAAATAAGATTTTTCGTCTATTTTGTCCATAATTTGTTTAAGTTTCACTTTTGAATAGTATATGAAATGCAATACGTACTATGTGGTAATATAGTGAAATATAACTATGAATTGTAATGTTCCTTACAAAGCTCACTTTTTAATGGAAAAAAGTAATTATTTGTTTGATATACGTTAGAAAAGAGTATGAGTATTTCTGCTCTTTGGGTGCTTTGTTATTGACTCTATAAACTATTGTTTCACATAATAATAAAGGATACCAATTTACTACTGTTTTTCAAAACATATTCTGAGGACGGTTCACGGGTGAACTCGAGGAAGCCTTAAGAAGCTCAAAAAGAGACGAAGATATTTCATCCAATCATTCTTTGGAAGAATATTCTGGAATTTCTACGTGTAGCTTCCCTATTGGAAAATGTTAATAACCTCCTGTGTGTGGATGTGATAGCTATAATGATGATTTCGTTTTTAATAAAAAACTATAAATACCTGTCAGTTGACACTATCTGGAATAACATTCTTTTCACTAGTCTTCTGTCTTCTCATTGCGACTTGGAAGAGTTCTGGCATTCTAGTGCTCAAGTTATACCAGTCATATCAAGAATATAAACATCTAGATGTAACACATATATAATCAGTGGAGTACTGTATCTCGAAATGTAAAGTAAATTAATGATTTAGTGGATTCACTATTGGTTCGAATTGAAAACTTCAATAAATATTGTTGGCTGTCAAAATCTCTTTTGCATAACTTAACATCAAAAATTATTATTAAATAAACAACCAAGTTTAAAAGTAATGTCAGTTTTTGGCATGAAATTACCAGAAGATCATATCTAGTTTGTTACTGGAATAATTAGAAGGCTATTTGAGCCTCGATCATTAATTTATTCTTTCATAATTCATATTAAAATACAAACCCATCATCTTTATTCTTCACAAATAGCAGGAATCCTTTAACGTCAGCTTCGTGAGCTATGCAATCTTGGAACTTGTGTTACTCAACAAAGTAATAACTTTTTTTTCATCGAACTATTTGTGACTAGATTTTACACTGCATAAATACACTACCTTGTTAAATAACAGATTTTGCTATCGTACACACCAGTTTTGAAATTTACTATTAGTATAATGTAAACAGTTAATAATTATAGGTAGCTAACTGTTTGATTTGTTTTGTGAACACCAGTTAATGTGGTCTATCAGAAAATATATCTATATCACATCTAAGTTTACCGTATTTTAAATAAACACATTACCAATGAATATTACCAATCAAATTGTTTATATCCAATCATTCCAATTCGTTTAAATTTTAATAATAATAGTTATAAGAAACTTCGAAGTAATCGTATTTGTATGAATTTATCTCACAAGTTGTCTAAAACATCTACTTTCAATAAATTGTGTATCAATAAAGTAATATTTATTACGTGAGATATGAATTTCACAAAAAATAATGACATCCAATTACAAAATCAATAGTCTGTTAATTTACCTGATTGTAACGAGGTGAAGGTGGTCCAGCAACGTATTGAGTGAATTGTTGTTGAAATGATTTTTCTGATGGCATTGTAGACAAACTGAATGTTTTAGTCGATCTTGATTTTACTGGTTCATTAGTATTGGTTGTACGATTTTCTCTAACCCATGTTGGTGTTACTGGAGCATCCCATCCAAAGTTATGATCTGTTCCACCATATTCTGATTGAGTTTCATATCGATTATGAAAACTGTTTACATCGTTTCTTTTTCTTGGCACTGGACATGAATAAAAATTAACATAATAATTATGATCATTTCACCTATTATAATAACGTAATTAGCCAAGTCACTTTGATTACATTTCACGGATGTAAATATGACTAGAAATAATGATTATTCAAGAAATTTAAATGCTAACTATTCGAGAACTACAGATGCATATTTCTAGCATATACATAAGCATGTACATATACTCCGGTTAAACTCAAGAGGTAGGAAACACTGAACCTATATGTGATCCGGATTGTCATTCATCAGCAAGACACTTTGAGAATTTTAATGAAATTGATGCTCTCTATTGATCCTAACTCACGTTGTTTGAAGTGGTGATCTATTCCGACAATGCGTTGCTTTCCGAAGAACTGGAATATTAATACTGTCGCACAGGTACGCCTAGCTAGAGTATGCTAACTTGACACAGAAGTCGAAGGCTTTTAAACGAATATCTACAACCACTACGTTATAGAGTCATTTAAACTAGTGGCAATTGTTTAAATTGGTTGATGTGATTTGACCAGTATATAAATAAATATCTGACCGTCTTTAAATCCCCCAATAGTTGTTATAACGAAGTATTGACACAAAGATTCGTATCATTTAAAATATTACTTGTATTAATAAGTAGTTTTGCTCAGAAAGTTAAAAAGGAAATGTTAATTCTTATCTGACATACTTTGGAAATTAAGTTAATAAAATGAGAAGTTATTCTAGTTTTGTGACTGAATATTAATGACTCATGAATTCAATTAAAAAACTATTATAATATTCACAAAATGCCTCTTTGACTATAATCATCATATGCTCACTAATGACGGTCTCCAAGAGGTATTTTCTGGAGTTCTTGTAAGAAGCCGTTACCAGTGGAGTTCAACCAGGTCTATTGTGAGATAACAACTCACTGGAGACAATGGTGGGTGATGGTGCAACTTCATGGATTGGTTGAAGTTAAACATTAACACCAGTGGTCTAGTGGTTAAGTGCTCTCTCGCGAGACTGACAGGTCCTAGGTCCAAATCTCGCAAGGCCGGATCATGGATATGTACTGCAGAGGAGTCCTGTACTAGTACGAAACCACCGTCCAGTGCTTTCGGGTTTTCCATAGTGATCTAGCTTCAATTGACTCATGAATTCAACTGTTAAATTAATAATAATAATTTGGATTTATCATTGAAACGTTATTTTTCATCATGAATTTTCATAAGGTATAGTATAAAATATTGAAGCCTCTATTCAAAGAAGTTCAAATGTCAACAAAACTAACTTAATCACTTTGAATAAATCAATAAAAGAATATTTAATCCATTCAAATTAAAGACTATTTCTATTACAAATGAAAATCCTAGAAAGTTATGACGTTGATATCATCTTGAAAAAAAACAAGAATTTTCATCCATTTATACATTTATCTTGTCCGCATTTTAGATGTACATTGCAAAAAATTCACATTACGCATATAGTTTTAATATATATATATATATATATATATATATATATATATATATATATATATATATATATATATATATATATATATATATATATATATATATATAAATGTAAATGACATTTAAAATCCTATGTTAACTATTTTAAACATCAAGTATTTACTTGCATGAATGTATGTATATATATATCGCTCATTGTTTGAAAGGGACAATTTCTTTTTTTAATATTTATTCATTTATTCTTAATATATTAAAAAAGAAATTCTATAATACTACTGAATGTATTCTTTTCTTCAATGTCTTTTAATTCCTCCTCCCTTCTCCACTTGCACTTAGTTATACTATTTACTACATTCTATACTAATCTATAGTTATTCTTATACACATCAATATTGAATGTGTTCTTGTGCATTTATATTCATGTCCTAAATATACATACAGATTCACCCAAAGATACTTAAAGATAAAATATCAAAGTTTATTAGATTGACTATAGAATGATGAATCGTATTATTTATTTCTGTGTATAAAACATATAAAGCATAATTTAACAAATTTAAACAAAACTATTGAATTCTTATAAAAAAGCATTGAATAAATTCAATATATTTTATCATTTTGTATATAATAATGTCATAAATACATACACCTATCTACATTATACATTAATAGATGCACATACCTATACACCATTAGAAACTATAAGAGGATGATTGAATAATCATTGAACATGATTATAGGTATCATATTCATTTTAAAGCATTTCCTTTTCTAATCTGTTTTAACTAATGTAATGTTATATAGGCAGAGAAATCAATAAATTTATTTATTGTTGTATTGCTGTATTGAAATATGGAGAAATTCTAGAAGAGGTGGAAAGTTTCATGTATCTGGGTAGCATAAACGATGAACATGGAGGATCGGATGCAGACATAAATGCGGGGATTGGCAGAACAAGGGTAGCATTCTTACAGTTGAAGAATATATGGAACTCAAAACATTTATCGACCAATATCAAAGTCATAATCTTCTATACGAACGTCTAGACAGTCCTACTGTACGGAGCTAAAACTTGGAGAACTATTACAATCATCATCAAAACGGTACAAGTATTTATAAAAAATTGTCTACGTAAGATACTGAATGTCCGTTGGCCTACTGTGGGAGAGAAAAAACCAGCCTCGAGCTCAAAAGGAAATTAGGGAAAAACGTTGAAAGTTGTTTGGACATACATTACGGAAATCACTGAACTGCATCACGAGGCAAGCCCCAACTTGGGATCCTGAGGTAAACGAAAAAGAAGAAAGCCGAAGAACACACTACGTCGGGAATTAGAAGCAAACATGGAAAGGATGAATAGCAACTGAAAACAAATGGAAAGGATTGCTCAGGACAGAGTTGGATGGAGAGTGCTGGCGAGCGGCCTATGCTCCTCCACGAGGGTAACAGGCGTAAGTAAGTGTATTCAAACGTGTTATTTGTGTAACAATCAGTTATGTTATTTGATAACCGTTTCTCATAAGTTCATTTTCGTATGCAATATACTTAGTAATTCAAAAGTAAATACAACCATCTCGAATCTGATTATTCAAACTTATAAGTCATCCCACTGATTAGATTTAATTTTTTCGATCTAACAAATAGCTTATTAGCAAGCTCACAGATAGAAAAACTGTTTATTAGTTTAGGAACACAGCGGCGGCAGAAAAACGTTTTAATAATAATAATAATAATGTGCTTTCATAGTGATTAGTAAAACATTTTAAATATCTATTCACCATCATATTTCAAATGACATAAAGATTTTTAACATATGAATTGATTTTAGGACTGTTTTTTCTAATTTTGTTCCTATCTGGTATAATAATGTAATCGTTATAGTTTTTACAAAAGTAGTTCGGTAAAATTATATTTTGAAACTATAGCCTACTTTTTATTTAAAACCAATATAACTAATATAACTTTGAGAAAGCAGGATGTCAAGTAATAAACTACATTATAATGTAGTTATTATAGAGCTGTGTTTTATCTAAATTAGGATAGCAGTGATGATTGGATAGTAATCGATCGATTTAGACTCGTAGTGTTATGAATAAACTCTAACAATATTGACTGCTATTCCTTCTCATAAGTATTTAATGTCGTTTTTCCTCTGATGATTTTTTCACTTATCATGTTTTGTAATCACCGTATTTTTTTAATTGATACAAAATAGTTGACATTTACAGTGTTAATCAATAAAATAATTATTGTTCAAGTATTAAACTCACTTGTTAATGAATGTAGATAACCTCTTTGAATACTGGGCGGTTGACCTCCACCAAGAAAAAGTTTTCGTCTTTCACGAACTGGTAGATTCATAAAACTGTAATCAACTTCTTCTGGTTCAACATCATTATTATCTTTGGCATTTACTGGTTTCTGTTGAGGTTGTTGCTAGATCATTAAATGCAAAACAAAACAAATGAATTGAACACTTTCATATATATTCAATATTTAAAACAATTTTCTTAAATTTTCTTTGAGTGCTAAATGTGTATCTCATTTGAAATTTTAATCATTGAATTCTTAACTAAAATTACCAGGGTATCTTAATCTCATGCCTATATTAATGCCAATTACAGTAGATTGTCATCATTATTAAATGTAAGTAAATCCGATTTGCTGACCAAGATATATTCTTACTTTTTCCCTGTTCTTTTCCAGATTCACTTACTAATTCTCCTTCAGTTCACAAAGTATCTTTAGGCTAAACTCACACCTAAGACTGAATGTTACAATTATTGGTGTGAAGAGTTAACATTTAAATAAAAATTAATTAAAATAATAAATGTCATCGCTGACTTTGCCTATACTAACTGTGAAACATAG